TTAGTGGAATACTTTTCCAACAAATTAACTAAGCACTTTCGAAAATCTTCACATAACACTTTCCAACTTTCTTCGGTTACTCCCACAAGTCCAAAGACATGCGCTATAGGTGAATTGGGTAGGCTAAATTGCCCGTAGTGTATGTGTTTGAATCAGTGTGTATGGGTGTTTTCCAGTGACAGGTTGCAGCTGGAAGGGCATGTGCTGCGTAAAACATATGTTAGATAAGTTGGCGGTTCATTCCGCTATGGCGACCCCAGATTAACAAAGGCACAAAGCCGAAAAGAAAATGAATGAATGAATGAATAAATGAATGAATCAATCAATCAATTCCCTTATAGCGCATGTGTTTGGACTGTGGGAGAAACCGGAGCACCCAGGAAACCCACGCCAACAGGGGGAGAACATGCAAACTCCACACAGAAACTCCAACTGATCTAGCCAGGACTCAAACCAGTGACCTTCTTGCCGTAAGGCCACAGTGCTAACCACTGAACCTCCATGCTGCCTTTCACAAGCACGTTTCAGAACAAATTATATTAGTCTCTACACAACATCAAACACTCTCTTATCTCACAGTATCAACAGGAGATTTATTAAAATCGCGGCAGTTTCACTAGATGAGCCTTTTCACTGATATAAATGGTGTAAATAACCAGTAAAGGATTGTGAAACTCAAGGTTATCCAGTGAATCAGTCAAACTTGGGTGCAAAAGTCACAGATAAGCATCGGTAAGGTAAAATGAACGGCACACACACCTGTTCAGCTCCTGCTCAGTTTCATTGGATTTGTATGGACAGCTCAGGAAATCGGACACCTCACGCGCAAAACTCTTGAACTTTATACTGGAACAAAAATCAGAGACTTTAGTTTACTGAATCATACAGTTGGGGGTGCTGGTTAAAGTTCATCAGGTCATCCTTGATGTATGAGGTAGGGCTGCACATAATACACTACCTGACAAAAGTCTTGTCGTCTGTCCAAGTTTTAGGAACAGCAAATAATAACTTGACTTCTAGTTGATCATTTGGTATCAGAAGTGGCTTAGATTATGCTTATTTTACCTAAATAAAATATGATCATGATTAGATCAGATTAGACAGACTTTACATGTGTCGTCATTCATTTCTGTTTATTTGATGACTGGTCTGGTTTTGGCCTATTCTTAGACGTCTATTACGTTTTCACAGACAGCCCAAATTTAGTAATGTTCTAGCCAAGATGACTATTAGACATCTATTAAAAACAAAAAAATACTTGCTGGGTTAAGACTCTCACTCACCTTTTGGCAGGCTTGATAACAGAAAACTTGTGTCTGAGTTTTGCACAGCCCATCTTCTGAAATGTGTCAGTCATCACATCTCTAAACGAAAAGAACAGAGCTCATTTTTCTTTTCACTGTAAAGAAATCTGTAACCTGGTTAACAGTAAAGTTAAAACTCAATTCCTATTTACAAAATTAAATACACAAATCCATATCCTAAATTCAAAACACAATCAATAAATATGCAAATCCAATTCCTAAATGCAAAACACAATCAATAAATATGCAAATCTAATTCCTAACTCCAAAACACAATTCATAAACATGCAAATTCAATTCAATTCAATTCAATTCAGCTTTATTTGTATAGCGCTTTTACAATGTAGATTGTGTTAAAGCAGCTTCACATAAATGGTCATAGTAACTGGATGTATGAATTGTCAAATCCAAATCACAATTAATAAATATGCAAATCCAATTCCTAAATTCAAAACACAATTCCTAAATATGCAAATCCAAAAAACAATTCATTAATAAGCAAATCCAATTCCTAAATTCCAAACACAATCCATAAACATGAAAATCCAAAACACAATTCATAAATATGCAAGTCCAAAAGACAATTCATAAATATGTAAATCCAATTCCTAAATTCAAAACACAATTAATAAATATGCAAATCCAATTTCTAAATTTAAACACAATTAATAAATGTGCAAATCCAAATGACAATTCATAAATATGCAAATCCAAGACAATTCACAAATATCCAAATCCAATTCCTAAAATCAAAACTCGATTAATAATTACGCAAATCCAAAAGACAATTCATATATATGCAAATCCAATTTCTAAACTCAAAACACAATTAATAAATATGCAAATCAAATTCCTAAATTCAAAAAACAATAAATAAATATGCAAATCCAATTCCTAAATTCAAAAAACAATAAATATGCAAATCCAATTCCTACATTCAAAACAATTCATATATATGAAAAATTGCAAATCCAATCCCTAAATTCAAAACACAATCCATAAACATGCAAATCCAAAAGACAATTCATAAATATGCAAATCCAAAACACAATTAATAAATACGCAAATCCAAACGACAATTCATATATATGCAAATCAAATTCCTAAATTCAAAACACAAATAATAAATATGCAAATCCAATTCCTAAATTCAAAACACAATTCATAAATATGCAAATCCAATTTCTAAATTCAAAACACAATTAATAAATATGCAAATCCAAAAGACAATTCATTAATAAGCAAATCCAATTCCTAAATTCCAAACACAATCCATAAACATGAAAATCCAAAACAAAATTCATAAATATGCAAATCCAAAAGAAAATTCATAAATATGTAAATCCAATTCCTAAATTCAAAACACAATTAATAAATATGCAAATCCAATTTCTAAATTTAAAACGCAATTAATAAATGTGCAAATCCAAAAGACAATTCATAAATATGCAAATCCAAGACAATTCACAAATATCCAAATCCAATTCCTTAATTCAAAACTCAATTAATAAATACGCAATTCCAAAAGACAATATATATATATGCAAATCCAATTCCTAAACTCAAAACACAATTAATAAATATGCAAATCCAATTCCTAAATTCAAAAAACAATAAATAAATATGCAAATCCAATTCCTAAATTCAAAACACAATTAATAAATATGCAAATCCAATTTCTAAATTCAAAAAACAATAAATATGCAAATCCAATTCCTAAATTCAAAACAATTCATATATATGAAAAATTGCAAATCCAATCCCTAAATTCAAAACACAATCCATAAACATGCAAATCCAAAAGACAATTCATAAATATGCAAATCCAAAACACAATTAATAAATACGCAAATCTAATCGACAATTCATATATATGCAAATCAAATTCCTAAATTCAAAACACAAATAATAAATATGCAAATCCAATTCCTAAATTCAAAACACAATTCATAAATATGCAAATCCAATTTCTAAATTCAAAACACAATTAATAAATATGCAAATCCAATAGACAATTCATTAATAAGCAAATCCAATTCCTAAATTCCAAACACAATCCATAAACATGAAAATCCAAAACACAATTCATAAATATGCAAATCCAAAAGACAATTCATAAATATGTAAATCCAATTCCTAAATTCAAAACACAATTAATAAATATGCAAATCCAATTTCTAAATTTAAAACGCAATTAATAAATGTGCAAATCCAAAAGACAATTCATAAATATGCAAATCCAAGACAATTCACAAATATCCAAATCCAATTCCTTAATTCAAAACTCAATTAATAAATACGCAAATCCAAAAGACAATTCATATATATGCAAATCCAATTCCTAAACTCAAAACACAATTAATAAATATGCAAATCAAATTCCTAAATTCAAAAAACAATAAATAAATATGCAAATCCAATTCCTAAATTCAAAACACAATTAATAAATATGCAAATCCAATTTCTTAATTTAAAAAAACAATAAATATGCAAATCCAATTCCTAAATTCAAAACAATTCATATATATATGAAAAATTGCAAATCCAATCCCTAAATTCAAAACACAATCCATAAACATGCAAATCCAAAAGACAATTCATAAATATGCAAATCCAAAACACAATTAATAAATACGCAAATCTAATCGACAATTCATATATATGCAAATCAAATTCCTAAATTCAAAACACAAATAATAAATATGCAAATCCAATTCCTAAATTCAAAACACAATTCATAAATATGCAAATCCAATTTCTAAATTCAAAATACAATTAATAAATATGCAAATCCAAAAGACAATTCATTAATAAGCAAATCCAATTCCTAAATTCCAAACACAATCCATAAACATGAAAATCCAAAACACAATTCATAAATATGCAAATCCAAAAGACAATTAATAAATATGTAAATCCAATTCCTAAATTCAAAACACAATTAATAAATATGCAAATCCAATTTCTAAATTTAAAACACAATTAATAAATGTGCAAATCCAAAAGACAATTCATAAATATGCAAATCCAAGACAATTCACAAATATCCAAATCCAATTCCTAAATTCAAAACTCAATTAATAAATACGCAAATCCAAAAGACAATTCATATATATGCAAATCCAATTCCTAAACTCAAAACACAATTAATAAATATGCAAATCAAATTCCCAAATTCAAAAAACAATTAATAAATATGCAAATCCAATTCCTAAATTCAAAACACAATTAATAAATATGCAAATCCAATTCCTAAATTCAAAACAATTCATAAATATGAAAAATTGCAAATCCAATCCCTAAATTCAAAACACAATCCATAAACATGCAAATCCAAAAGACAATTCATAAATATGCAAATCCAAAAGACCATTCATGAATATGCAAATCAAATTCCTAAATTCAAAACACAATTAATAAATACGCAAATCCAATCCCTAAATTCAAAACACAATCCATAAACATGCAAATCCAAAAGACAATTCATAAATATGCAAATCCAAAAGACAATTAATAAATACGCAAATCCAAACGACAATTCATATATATGCAAATCAAATTCCTAAATTCAAAACAAATAATAAATATGCAAATCCAATTTCTAAATTCAAAACAATTCATAAATATGCAAATCCAAGTCCTAAATTCAAAACACCATTCATATATACAGTTGAAGTCAGAATTATTAGCCCCTTTTAATTTTTGTCTTCTTTTTAAAATATTTTCCAAATGATGTTAAACAGATTCAGGAAATGAATTACAGTATGTCTGATAATATTTGTTATTCTGCAGAAAGTCTTATTGGTTTTATTTTGTCTAGAATAAAAGCAGTTTTTAATTTTTTAAACACCATTTTAAGGTCAATATTATTAGCCCCTTTAAGCTATATTTTTTCTGATAGTCTACAGAATAAACCATCGTTATACAATAACTTGCCTAATTACCCTAACCTGCCTAGTTCACCTAATTAACCTAGTTAGGCTTTAAATTTCACTTTAAGCTGTATAGAAGTGTCTTGAAGAATATCTAGTAAAATATTCCTCATGTCCTCATGACAACGAGAAAATAAATCAGTTATTAGAAATGAGTAATTAAAACATTTATGATTAGAAATGTGTTGAAATAATCTGCTCTCCATTAAATGGAAATTGGGAAAAAATAAACAAGCGGTCTAATAATTCAGGGGGGTTAATAAATCTGACTTCAACTGTATATGCAAATTCAATTCCTAAATTCAAAACACAATTCATAAATATGGAAATCCAAGACTAAAGTCAAAAGAGAATTTGTAAATATGCAAATCTAAGACTAGAGTCTAAACCAAATTCATAAATATGCAAATCCAAGACTAAAGTCTAAACCCAATTCATAAATATGCAAATCTAAGACCAGAGTAAAAACCCAATTCATAAATATGCAAATCCAATTTCTGAATTCAAACCACAATTCATAAACATGAAAATCTAATTCCTAGTCAAGACGCAATTTATGAATATGCAAATCCAATTCCTAAAGTCAAAAGAGAATTGATAAATATGCAAATCAAATTCCTAAATTCATATTTATGATTTTTACTTGTGAAATTGTGTTACTAATTTGCATATTGCATTCATGATTTGTGTTTTGAATTTGTGAATTGGATTTTGTAGATGTGAAATGTGCTGTGCATGTACGAGTTTTATTTCTGCAAATATATTCTTTTTGAGATTGAGACTCAATACTTTATTAGTAAATAGTATTTTAGTATCTTTTAAATGTACTAAACTTATTAGTATTTATCGGAATGTTCTATATTCTCTTGTGGTTTTCTAGTTTTATACTGTATGAATCTGAGAGTAACGTCATTTCAATTCTCTGCATGACTCTACATGTGGCAGAATTTGCAATAAAGCCGACTTTGATATTGTCCTAAAAACCCTAATGGGAAGACTATTCAGCTTTCAGATGATATCATCTCATAGACAGCCCCTTATGACTGGTTTTATGGTCCAAGGTCACAGTTGCATTACAGCTTATGCTTACAAAGCCACATTACATTACAGTCATAAATCTCATTGGTTTGATTGTTGAGACACAAAATGGCGTCCACGTCCAGCAAGAATCTGGTATATGCAGCACGATTCCCATTTACAAAATCTGATTCATAACACAAAACGCAATTCATAAATACACAAATCTAATATGTAAATTAGTAACACAATATTAGAAGTAAAGATCATAAATATTTCTCCAAATAAATTGGATTTGTGTATTTAAGAATTGTGTTTTGAATTTACGAATAGGATTAGCATATTTGTGAATTGCGTTTTGACTTTAGGAATTTGATTTGCATATTTATGAATTGCGTTTTGACTTTAGGAATTTGATTTGCATATTTATGAATTATGTTTTGAATTTACAAATTGTGCTTTGAATTTAGAAATTAGGTTTGCATTTTGTGATTTGTGTTTTGATTTTAGGAATTGAATTTGCATATTTATGTAATGTGTTTTGATTTTACTAATTGAATTTTCATATTCATGAACTGTTTCAAATTTACGAATTGAATAGGCATATTTATGAATTGTGTTTTAAATTTAGGAATTGTGTTTTAAATTCAGGCATTAGATTTGCATATTTATGAATTGTAATTTGAATTTAGGAATTGCATTTGCATATTTATGAATCATATTTTGAATTTAATAATATAATTTGCATATTTATGAACTGTGTTTTGAATTTAGGAAGTGAATTTTCATATTCATTAACGGTTTTGAATTTACGAATTGAATTTGCATATTTATGAATTATGTTTTAAATTTTACAAACTGTGTTTTAAATTCAGGAATTAGATTTGCATATTTTGAATTTAGGAATTACATTTGCATATTTATGAAATGTATTTTGAATTTAATAACATAGTTTGCATATTTATGAATTGTGTTTTGAATTTAGAATATACTCTGACTATAGATATTTCAAACAATTATCAAGATTTATCTAAAGATGCGTTAATCAACATTTATCCTAAAAAAGCAATAATAGTTTTAACTTGTTTTAATTTAGCACTTCATTTAGGAATAATTCGTTCACAAAACCAGTAAATGTTTAAATATCATGTTTATTAATAGTGACAACCTCAAGCTTTTATCTGTTGAATACATTGTACTTTAATTTACTTTAAATGAAAATTTGTGTATTCATAAGCAAAAATGGCTTAAATCTCCTTTATATTTTCACTTTTAGTTTGTGTTTTTAATAGTTTAATTTATGTAAACCCATTAATGCAAACCCACATTTGATTTTGTGGGGTCTATTTTATTTTTATTGCTGTAGTTTTACTTTTTTCTGTATTTTATTTATTATTTCTCTTGTAAGAGACAAGGTTATCACTGCAGACTTTATGGTGTGCTGCTAATCAGATAATTTACTAATAACAATCCGCTAATTTCAATTAAACATTTGTTTTCAGCCAAGGGCAATTAATTGCTGATAAGTCTAGAAAGGATACGACTGCGGATATGCATGCGCACTTGATATGTGATAGCCTACTGACTGTAGTACTACAATAATTCAGATTTTACATAACTCTGAGGGTTACGTAGTAAAGTAGATATTATTAAAGCTACATAATAGACAATTAAAAAAATATTGTAAACTAGTATCACCATTAACTTCATGACAGAACACACATCTAGCAACATTTCTGTTTGTATTTCTTGTTGCTAGAAGGGATACAGCTGCGGACCATGTATTGTTTTTTATTAACATCTACCCCCACCACAACCCTAAACTAACCATCACAGTGAAGTAAAACATTAATTATACAGAGTATTATTCATATTATTTATTAAATTACCTCTTAATTGGTATTTTATTTAATCATACCCCCATCCCGAACCTCACAGTAATGTAAAATATTCATTATTGCTGTACAGTGTCACAATAACTGCTAATTTGAGTATCCCCAGCTGTATTCATTTCTGCCCTGACTACGACATTTCAACGTCAAAAACAAAAGTATCTCAACAGAAAACTATTTAACTTCCACTCTAAAACCGTTTTAAACTAATTTACTTTGGTTAAACTAGGTTGCAGACGAAATTTTCCGTACACTTTAAGGAGATTTCGCTTTAAATCACAGCTATAGACAAACAAAAAGGTCAATCAGTCGGTTACGATGCTAGTTAACTTAACTTGCTAGCTTCACACCAACTTACTCGATTAAAAAACAACAACCACTAACTTAACCTTGTTATTAAAGTCAGTTTATAATACTTCAGCACAGGTAAACTTTAACACGAGCAAACACGCAGCCTGACTTAAATAGACATAAGCAGCATCTTCTGTGACAATGATTCTGAAATGTTTACCCGAACGAGGGTGTGTTTTGCTTGTAAAACATCATGCAGACACACTGGAAGATGATCAGGACCACCAGGAAAGTGCTGCCCCACCGGAGAGACGCCAAGGCCATCAGAGACACTGGAACGAGTGCGTGCGTGTTTGTGTGCGTGTGAAAGGTTAAAGGTGACACGCGCGCGCGCGCTCCGCCCCTGATACTCGACCATCATTTTAAACATGCGCGTCATGTCATACAACAAACACACCTCTGATGTTTATTAATCATTGATTCGGCGTGTTTCTGAGATATCTGGTGCTGAGATTAGATGAACTAGAAATGTTATATTCGATCATAAACATCAAACAAGCAAGGAATTATTCATTCATTCATTCATTTTCTTTTCAGCTGAGTCCTTTTATTAATCAGGGGTCGCCACAGCAAAATGAACCACTAACTTATCCAGCACATGTTTAACACGGCGGGTGCCCTTTCAGCTGCAATCCATCACTGGGAAACATCCTTACACACTCATTCACACTCATACACTACGGACAATTTAGCCTACCCAATTCACCTGTACTGCATGTGTTTGGACTGTGGGGGAAACCGGAGCACCCGGAGGAAACCCACATGAACGCAGGGAGAACATGCAAACTCCACACAGAAACGCCAACTTACCCAGCCGAGGCTCAAACCAGCAACCTTCTTGCTATGAGGCGACAGCACTACCTACTACGCCACTGCGTTGCCCCAAGGAAGGAATTACAATACTGAGAATGATAATAATAATTTTAAAAATATGTATATATCACATTTCTGAGTGTTGATCATTTTCCAGAAAGTTTTTTTCAGTCCCTACTTAAAATATACACATTAAAACACTTCACAATTTCTGTATATTTTAAAACGTATACTCATTTAATTGTTCAAATATACATTTACATGAATATTTACAGGTAGCAACACTCTTTTGAGTCATCAATGTGTGTATGCTAATAATTCCAAAATTGCTTGTTAAATATTATAAATATAAAGTCATTCATTTTCATCAGCTTTTCTGGGGCCGGGTCGTGGGGGGCATCAGTCTCAGGATAGAACTCCAGATTGCCCTCTCCCCAGACATTTTCTTCAGGTCTAAAGGGGGGGGGGGGGTCCCGAGGCATTCCTAGGCCAGCCGAGAGACATAGGCCCCGTTTACACTAGTGCGTTTTAGTTTTAAAACGGCGTTTTAGAATGAAAACGATCCGCTTCCACACTCGCGTTTCACCCAGCGTTTCTGAACTGCTCTCCGTCCACACCAAAACGCTGAAAACGCACATCACGTGACCACACACACACACTTTTGCAATCGCTGGAGCCCATCTACCCAGATGAGAGCTCTGCTAGTCGGACTTCTCATCAAGCATCTCCCGCTGGATCTAATCTCACTATATTTATTAAACGGGATATTTCATTCATCTTGTTGTCTTTATCTAACGACATATTCCCTGACTTTGGTCATTGGAATCTAGTACTTGTTCTCAGGTAACGTGTTTTGACTGAGCGCAAAGATAAGTTAATGATTAATGTACCCAGCCGGCATTTCAACGGTGATTCAACGTTGAATCAACGTCAGGTCTATGGTTGGATCAACGTTGAATTACCTTTCGATTTTGCAAATTGGATCAACGTTTATATAGTGACGTTGTTTCACCGTCGGACCACCACCGGTGATTCACCGTTGAAATCACAACGTTGTTTCACTCTTACCTTCTTCATGGGTGAATTGTGGTCGTTTTGTAGACGTTGAATGAAGGTTGAATTACCTTTCGATTTTGCAAATTGGATCAACGTTGATACCGTGACGTTGTTTCACCGTCATACATTTCAACGTAAGTTAAATAGAAATTACATACAACGCAAAGTGCATAGTCCCTCCAGCATGTCCTGGCTCTTTTCTGAGGTCTCCTCCTGGTAGGACATGCCTGGAACACCTCTCTAGGTAGCCTTCCAGGAGGCTTCCAAAAACTGATGCCCAAGCCACCTCAGCTGACTTCTCTGGATGTGGAGGAGCAGCAGCTCTACTCCGAGTTTGTCACCCCATCTATAAGGTTGCATCCTGCCATCCTGCGAAGGAAACTCATTTCGGCCGCTCGTATCCAACATCTTGTCCTTTCGGTCATGACCCAAAGCTCATGACCATAGGTGAGAGTAGGAATGTGGATTGACCGGTAAGCTCCTTCTTTACCACAGCAGACCGCTACATCGACCACATTACTGCTGCACCGATCCGCCTGTCAGTCTCGCACTCCATCCTCACTTGTTAACAAAATACCAAGATACTTGAACTCCTCCACCCGGGTTGCTGCTGGAAGGGCATTCGCTGCATAAAAATATACTGGAATAGTTAGCGGTTCATTCTGCTGTGGCAACCCCTGATAAATACTAAGCTGAAGCAAAATGAATGAATGAATTTCTCACACATGGTGGGTAAACAGTAAATTATTAATAACAGCAGTCTTTCATGGTCATGCATTAATTGGTGCAGGAATGCGAACAGCTCAACGTCCCGCAAAACACTGAAAACATAGTAACATGCTTGATTAATAAATGACATGTAATTAAATTAATTATATAAATTTGGTGGGCGAGGCAGTGGCGCAGTAGGTAGTGCTGTCGCCTCACAGCAAGAAGGTCGCTGGGTCGAACCTCGGCTCAGTTGGTGTCTCTGTGTGGAGTTTGCATGTTCTCCCTGCCTTCGCGTGGGTTTCCTCCGGGTGCTCCGGTTTCCCCCGCAGTCCAAACACATGCGGTACAGGTGAATTGGGTAGGCTAAATTGTCCATAGTGTATGAGTGTGTGTGTGAATGTGTGTGTGGATGTTTCCCAGAGATTGGTTGCGGCTGGAAGGGCATCCGCTGCGTAAAAACTTGCTGGATAAGTTGGCGGTTCATTCCGCTGTGGTGACCCTGGAATAATAAAGGGACTAAGCCGACAAGAAAATGAATGAATGAATATATAAATTTGGTTCACTGACACATGCATTACACAAACTAACATTACAGGAAAATCTGACCCTCTCCCTGATCATCAGTGCATAATTCACACCCTGCCCCTACCTCAACCTCTCGCCTCAATGTAAAAACAGCAATGATAAAGAGAATTATTTATTAAATTGCCCTCTAAAATGCTTTTTATTAATGATGACACCTCATTCAGCTGCCATTCTTGCTCATAGTTTATTCACATCCCGTGTAATTCCCATCTGTTTGGCCTCCCTAATAAAGCTCTTCATAAATTACAGCTGGTACGAAACGCTGCAGCCATCACAAACACCCCCTCTATCTGTCACATCACACCCATTCCACAAACAGCTTCACCGGCTTCACTTCTTTTTCAGAATTAATTACAAAGTGCTTCTTCTCACTTTTAAAGCCATCCACAATCTGGCTCCTCCATACCTTGCTGATCTCGTTCATATCGCCACACCTTCTCCAACACCACTCTGTCCGCCTTGTCGCCATGGGGTGCAGATCCTTCAGCCTCTCTGCTCCTCAGCTTTGGGATGCACTTTCTCCTGATCTCAGTAATTTAGACTCTCTTTCACAATTTAAATCCAATTAAATTCAATAATTGCTTTATTGGCATGACAAATGTTACAAATGTATTGCCAAAGCAGTTGTAGTCATAGAAATAAGAGAACATACACATATAATACAATAAACAGAAGTAGTAGTAGTTAAAAAGAAGGAATATATACATATAATAATTAAATATATAAAAAATAAATCATATTATTATCCAATATATCACATTGTTATTCGATATATCCTATCATTCATATCATATTAATAATTTATAACAATAAAAATAACAATAAATCAGAATAAACTACGTTTAACAATCCACATTTTAGGATTTAGGATTACAATTAAAATCCAAACTCAAAACACATCTGTCTAGAGCAGCTTATTCTCTTTAACCCGACTGCATTTTTAAAGTTTGTACTGTATTCTATTGACTTTTATTGTGTTTTTACTTAAACTGATGGTTCTAGCTGTCCTGTACGGTGACCTTGAGTGTCATGAAAGGCACCTTTGAATAAAAATCATTATTATTATTATTGTTATTATTATCATGACCCCTACCCCAACCTTAAACACCCCGCGCAGTAATGTGAACATAATAATTAGTGCATATTTTACAGTGTTACAAATATGATGCTTTACTGATGTTTACTTAGCTGTATCCCGTAAAGACTTGACCCACTTTGAGCTTCAAATACGCTCTTTAAAAACGTAAACAGACTGAATTCCCTACCTCTACATGATTTTATGGCAGTGTTTCCCAACCCTGTTCCTGAAGGCACACCAACACACATTTTCAACCTCTTCCTAATCAAACACACCTCAGTCAACTCATCTGGGACCGATCTTTCAAAACTAATCCACTAGGATTTTGGATAACAGATTGGATCAAGTTTTGAGAATGGGTTTTTCAAAAGAAAAAAACAGATCATGTAATCCAGTCTTGGTTTTGATCCAGATCAAACCTTCAGTTTTGGGAGCTTTTTTTTAAGATTTGGATCACTTTGATCCAAAAAATCTGGATTGAACTGATCCCATCTGGGCTCATTTTTTTAAAAAGGTTTAATCCGGATAAAATTGATTCGGATTTAGTAATCCTGTTTTTGTGATACGTGATCACGTAATCCAGCTTACTTTTTGAGCCAGTTTTTCGGAGCAACATCAGATTGGATCAATCTGAATTGTCAATTTCTTGTTTTTATAATTTTTTTTAAATGTGTGTATTTTTATTTCAAATAAATATAAAGTTATATTGACCCACACTAGCTATTCTACTTGCTGCTCTTTACATATCTAGAGTTCTACATTGTGATTTTCTCTCCTGTTTGAGCACTGCTTATCCAGATTTAGTGATCCTGAAAAATTCCTATCCGGATCAGATTGATCCAATCAGATGTTGCTTTGAAAAACTGGCTCAAAAAGTAAGCTGGATTACATAATCACGTATCACAAATCTGAATTAATTTTATCCGCATTCAACTTTTTGAAAAACCTGGATGTCTCAGATAAGGAAGACATCCAATGATGAGTACTGTTGGTGTGCCTAAGGGAACAGGGTTGGGAAATACTGCTCTATGGTGTGTGGCAGGGCTGCAGATGCAGTGTCAGCGCCCCCTGGCTGTGGAGCTGCAGGAGACGCACAAACTCCTCTGGCATGCGGTGCATATATGGGCTTGGCTTACTTTGGTCATAATAATGGTAAGGAACGGGGTTTTCCTGCAGGTCGGTGCCGAAGGGCCAAAATCCGTACACGTGCACGTGCTCACACATTTCCAGTGCAGCGCTAATTAAAATAAATCCCGAGGAGAGGCGGGGCTCCTTCAGGCCACGCCACTTCCAGAAGCGGTCCAGAGCACGCAGGTAATGTGGGTTGAAAAACACCACCGGCTGCTGAGGTCTGATTGGCTGCAGGACTCGGAGGACCCGGAGGGATGGCGAGGTGCAGAACCCATATGCAAATGCAGGAATAATGAGGGAGGAGTTTCCGTACACACTGATACGCTCCACTAGCGGACCCGGATCCTGCTCCATGGTTTTGTATCTACAGACACACAACAGGTTCTAATAAACACAACTGTACTTTGCATTGAGATGTGGTGCAGGAAACTTTAAAGGGACAGTACATCAAAATTGATAACTACGTCTTCATTTACTCATCCGTCTGTTTCAAACCTGTTTGAGTTTCTTTCTTCCGTTGAACACAAAAGAAGATAGCTTGAAAAATGTTGGAACCCACTGACCAATTCATAGTATTTGTTTTTCCCTACACTGAAAAAAAGTGTTGCATGCAGAACTGTTGCAAACAATTTATTTGTGTTGAATTTAAACAAATAAATTAAATTGAATAATGTTCAACTTAATTTGTTTGTTTAAATTCAACACAAATAAATTGTTTACAACCGCTTAACGTAAAAAAATTTAGTAAATCCAAGGAATCAACGTTGAATAATTTTTTTCAGTGTATTATGGCAGACTGGTCACAGCATTCTTCAAAATATCTACATTTGTCTTCAACAGAAGTTAGAAAATGATTAAGGTTTACATCCGTATGAGGGAGGAATAGTGAGAAAACTTTCATTTTTGGTTGTACTGCCCCCTTTTAAGGCAGATTATCTGCAATTTTAGGATAGGCAGTGGTTTTGTCTCACTGAAATACTTGTGAAATGTGAAATTAGGAGTAAAAAAACATTTAGGAGTCCCAAATTGAAAACTGACATGAACATTATTATTATTATTATTCAAATGATCTCCTAAATTGGCAAGTTGAGCTATGTTTAGCCTTAAAGGTGCAGTATATTTAAGTATTTAATATTTAATATTTAATATTATAATAGTTAATCACTGACACCCAGTGGTTGAACTAGGTATTGCACTCCTGGATCAAATCAAACGCAAGCGCAGGTTGCCAGATTGAGGACAAGAGATAGTGATTTAAATCGCGTTCTGTCTATAAGTAATGGCACGCAATAGAAGGAATATTCTGCATATTAAAAGGAGGTTTTTGTCCTAACCAACACCTGAAATGTATATATTAGAAACAGCTTCTGTGTCTTGCAGGTGAACAACAGGATAAACTGACAGTGATCAGCTCAGGTGCAGCTCATGTGCTTTATTCAGAGTTAAATGCTGATAATGTGAGTCTGAATGCCATTGTACAGGACATTTATTGTCGTACTGCTTCAAGCACAAGATAGTTCAGCTCAGATCTGGAGAATAAAATAAATCGTTTAGAACTGTGACCCAGTGATTCAGCATCAACATTAATCATGTTAAAGAGCTTTAATATGTATTCATTAGACTATAAAGCTGACCATTGTGCTGGAGTGCAGTAAGTGCACTACTCTGCGCATCTGAATGGCTGTGTTTACATTTCTTTCTTTCGTCTGCTGACAACAGCCACATTGCTCATCACTGTGCATCTCGTCACATAGCATGTTAGGAAACGGGGTTACAATGTGACCTGCTCACCTAATGTTTACACTCCTGATATTGATATTATTTGCTTATTATTAACCTCATGTGGAACTCTGAATCTGCATCTCATTTCAGAGTCTGCTACTGTCCACCAGAGGTCACATTTCGGTCACGAACACACACTTTTAGATCCTTCCTTCCTGGCTAAATAAATGAAAAACGCTGTTTTCCACCATCTGGCAACCCGCAGGGCTGAAATATAATTGGCTAAGCTGGCATTGGGCGGGTTTAATGACCAAAACAAAGATAGCCATTCCGGCACGTTACACACGTGTTCACAGCAGAATATCTGACTTCAGCATTGTGTCTCACATAAACAAGAATGTTCACTGAGCATGTTTCTGAATATCTGCACACATGTGATGCTGTTTTAGGCTCTAGAAGAGTCAAACACTCACTTACAGCACATTTAAGATGTTTTATGAATACGGGCCCTGATTTAAAGCTTTAATAAAAAGTCATTTAAAACCTTCTCAATATAGGTGTGTGTGTGTGTGTGTGTGTGTGTGTGTGTGTGTGTGTGTGTGTGTGTGTGTGTGTGTGTGTGTGTGTGTGTGTGACTGACTGTGTGAGAATCTGAGAGGGGTTGATGTTCATCAGATCTGTCTTCAGTCCAACATCGCTGTCATTAACCAACGCTAAATTAAACCTGAAAAAGAGAAGGGGGAATTATGTTCAGTCTGTGAAAGCAGTTGCTGCATATTTTAAAAACAAAATATTAAAGATAAACGCTTGGTCATCTTGTGCTAAATGAATGTATTCTGTGAGGTACAGATTTAGTACATTCATGGGTATATATTTTTAAAAATAATGATTCCTAATACATAATAATAAAATAATAATAATAATAATGGAAGTAGCCATCAGAAGATGGAGACACTGTGCTCATAAAGGGATGGACATGGTCAGCAGCAATACTCAGGTAGGCTGTGGCGTTGATGATCAATTGGTGCCACCACCACCAGCCTGAACCGCTGATACAAGGCAGGATGATCCATGCTTTCATGTTGTTGAGGCCAAATTGTGACCCGAGCATCTGAATGTGTCAGCAGAAATGGAGACTCATCAGAGCAGCAACGTTTCTCCAATCTTCTATTGTCCAGTTTTGGTGAGTCTGTGTGAATTGTAGCCTCAGTTTCCTGTTCTTAGCTGACAGGAGCGGCACCCGGTGTGCTCTTCTGCTGCTGTAGCCCATCCGCCTCAAGGTTGGACGTGTTGTGTGTTCAGAGATGCTCTTCTGCAGAGCTCGGTTGTAACGAGTGCTTATTTGAGTTACTGTTGCCTTTCTATCAGCTGGAACCAGTCTGGCCATTCTCCTCTGACCTGTGGCATCAACAATGTTTCCTCTTTGTCGGAGCATTCTCTGTTAACCCTAGAGATGGTTGTGCGTGAAAATCCCAGTAGATCAGCAGTTTCTGAAATACTCAGAGCAGCCCGTCTGACAGCAACAACCATGCCACGTTCAAAGTCACTTAAATCCCCTTTCTTCCCCATTCTGATGCTCGATATGAACTGCAGCAGATCCTCTTGACCATGTCTACATGTCTAAATGCAGTGAGCTGCTGCCATGTGATTGGCTGATTAAAATATTTGCATTAATGAGTTGCTGGACAGGTCGTTAAACAGCCTCAGAAGAAATGAATGATGGGATGTTTTTACCGGATGACGAAGTCTGCGCTGTCGATCTGGCGTCCACAGCTGCTGTTCTTCAAGATGCCACTGCTGCCGACAACAGCACAGAGACCCAGAGCACCAGCAGACCAGGGGGAGTCCTGCACACACACAGACAGCTGCATATGAATACACACACAGAGGCACATGTACACACAAACA